TTCTCATATATAATATGAAAGTGAGTCAAAGTATCGGCTTAATCATTTTTCACTCTTCATGTAATTCTTTTCTTCTGTGGTTTCATTCTCATATATAATATGAAAGTGAGCCAAAGCATTCGCTTAATCATTTTAATGTATTCTACTATTTCTTTTTCTCTCTCTTCCACTTCATACATAATATGAAGTTGGGCTTCAGTACTTCAATGTACGTTTAACACCAACATTTACGACGTAATTAACCACAAACAATACCACTTCCTCACTTACCAACTCATACCAACAACCAACATCACAAACACACTATTACAGACAAAAGACCTTCGTCATGTGTCTGCTTTCTTTTTTTTCTTCATTTTCAACTTTTATGACAATACATGTCTCGTTTCGTTTCCGTTTATTTTATTTCCATGTATTGTCAACTTTTAACATCAATAAAAGCGTTGTTACCAAAAAAAAAATTGTCATCAACCCTTTTTCAACGGGTTTTTGAAGCTTGTATGTGAACATTTATTACACTTATCAACCCTTTTCATGGGTTTATAAAAGTACAACGTATAGCAAACCCTTTAAAGGTTTGTGAGCATTATCAACCCTTTCATAAATCCTTTAAAGTCGGTATTTGACACTCATAAACCCCATAATAATCCCTTTTTTCAGGGTTTATGAAAAGGTTTATGACGCTGTAATAAATCCTCAAAAAGGATTTGCTATACGTTGCACTTTTATAAACCCTTTTTTCGTTTTCTATTCTACGCTTTTTTTTTACAGTGCACCCACACCCACACCCTCAATCAATACCTATGTGTATGAACACTGAAGTTCTCAAAAAGTTTGTAACACATATGAGAATATAAAAAATCATATCGCTGCACACTATTACACGTGTATGTTGACCTATTTGTTTTTAATCAAATACTTGTTGTCTTGTTATATTTAATGATGAATTCATAACATCGTCATTTTTTATTATCTGAGAGTAGATGAGTGTAAAGAGTTTGAATAGTAATATTAACAAAAACAACGAACCAATCTGTTGATAAAAATATAAATAAATAATAATATCAACACATCACTTGGTTTTTTTTTATAGAATAAACATTAGTCATAATAATAATAATATACATTCTACGTAGTTAGATAACGAAATATGTGTCTATTTCTTAACATAAACGTTTTAAGAATATGTAAAAACAAATATTTATCAAGCAATCTCTTAGTTAAACATATATTCATATCGGCATATGTTAAAATTGTATTGACTCTTTCTGGTAGATTATTTTCTAGTGTAGGAATATTGAGTAAAGGAAATATATTTGTTAAAATATTTACAATGTCTTGTTGTGTATAATAATTCTGTTATCGATCATGTAAATTTAATATTAATTTAAGCTTATCTTCATCTGTTCCTTGATTAATTAATAAATTGAATTGAAAAAATTCTTCAAAATTTAATTGTTTGTCATTATTTACATCCAAAGTATAGAATAATTGTTCAATCAATGATTTGAACAATTGATGTTGTTGATTTTCTCTATAAATATTTAATTGTTTTAAATAAATTAGAAATTCTTGAAATGAAACATAACCATATGGATAACAACAAATAAAACGTTCATACCATCCTTCAATTTCTTTTGATGGTAAATTAAACTTGATTTGATAATTTAGTTATTTGAGATAATGTTAACTGTAATGCAAGACGTGAACGAAAAACCTTTTTCGTTTCTAAACATCGAAGGAAAAGCAATCCTTTTGATGAATTTTGTAGAATAAAATTCAACAACGATTTCTCTTGATTGTCACCTAAGTTTTGCATTCGTTCTCGTTTAGTTCTATTGATAGACACTGTAGATAGCTTTTACTTTTTATATAAAATAATCCCGTTTATTTATCTAGTCAAGACAGTCATTACACCATCAATATGACATCACTCATACGATGTAAAAAAAAATCTTAAATAAACACGAGTCAGTTTTTACTAACCACATGTGCGTGCTTAAGTTTCTTATCTGAATCTAGAATGATACAAGTTTTTTATATATAAGAATCATCTATACAGGAGCTGTAGAATTCAGAATTTAAAAAAATCCCATCGATAAACAATGGATTAGCTCACTAACAATGGAGGAATCTGTATTGTAAGTTAGATAAATTGGCCACATTCGAGTCAAAATAAAGGTCTCATCGCCAAGCTAACAAAGGACGGGAGCGCATAAGAAACGAAATCAGTCCATTAGGACTTTTCCAGAGCGATCCAATTGAATCGTATATCATTCAAAAGAGTATGTTAAAATTAACACTTCGATACGATCTTCATGGGATTTCGATCGAAGTTTTGAAGCAAAACGCTATTTATAAAGTTACTCTTTTTTGGTCATTAATTCAATAATTGACCATATCCACGGTCGGCCCAATTTTAGTGTAAGTCGATAAGGAAAAATGGTTGTGAAATTAAGTATTTGATAGCTTCTTGATAGGGCTCCAGCCCTATATAAGAATTAACAGTTCTTTGTTCGATTCAGTCAGAAACGAGACCTAACATATTATTAGACATTGTTGACATATGCCCTATATTCTCACTAACTTTTATCTTTCAACGAATATTTTATCGAACGAATTAAAATAACCAAAATTCTGGTATAGCTCATTTGATAGCGCTTTTCAAAAGCTATAAAATCGTATATTTTCTAAAGTCCAAAAAAATATGGCCACTAGGAAAATTTACAGTCAAATTATGCCAGGGATACGATTTATGGTCATTTTTCACTAGCAATGTACCTTTGTTTTTTGAAAAAGTTCTACTGTATGTCAAAACTGATATCAGATTCGGACTCAACATCGAAAACTGAGTGGACTTATATATATCCCAAATATCTCCGACGACTTTCATTTTTCTCGAAAAATTCACCCGTACCCCCCTCCCTCTGGCAGCAATTTTACGAAAATACCTTGAGCGAGGTACGGGTGAATTTTTCGAGAAAAATGACAGTCGTCGGAGACATTTCGGATATCTAAAAGTCCACTCAGTTTTCAATGTTGAGTTCGAATCTGATAACAGTTTTGACTTACAGTAAAACTTTTTCAAAGAACAAATGTACATTACTAGTAAAAAAGCTGTTAGCGCAATCCCTTGCGGGATTAAAAATGTGAAACACGATGTACCTGCTGTTGCCAATCTTATAAAAATTGTTCTTTTTTATGCATATTGGTGTACATTTCTTCATCGTGGCTTACTTTACATTATAGAACTGAAACAGGATAATACCTCATATACGCTCCAATCATGTGTTAGTTATGCATTATCTCTGATGCTTCCTTGAACTCTTCTTTCACAGTCTATGATGATCCCTGGAGCTTGTCTGTCACGGTCTGTAATGGGTCCGAAGGTTCTCTGTCACGGTCTGTGATGGTCTCTGGGGTTCTCTGTCACAGTCTGTGATGGTCTTTGGGGTTCTCTGTCACGGTCTGTGGTGGGTATTAGGGTTTCTCTGTTATGGTCTGTGATGGATATTTGGTTCCTCTGTCACGGTCTGTGATGCGTCCGAAGGTTCTCTGTCACGGTCTGTGATGGTCTCTGGGGTTCTCTGCCACTGTCTGTGATGGCCTTTGGGGTTCTCTGTCACGGTCTGTGATGGGTCCGGAGGTTCTCTGTCACGGTCTGTGATGGTCTCTGGGGTTCTCTGTCACGGTCTGTGATGGCCTTTGGGGTTCTCTGTCACGGTCTGTGACGGGTCCAGAGGTTCTCTGTCACGGTCTGTGATGGTCTCTGGAGGTTCTCTGTCACGGTCTGTGATGGTCTCTGGGATTCTCTCTCACGGTCTGTGATAGGTATTGGGGTTTCTCTGTCACGGTCTCTGATGGGTCTAGAGGTTCTCTGTCACGGTCTGTGATGGGTATAGAATTTCTCTGTCACGGTCTGTGGGGGGAGGGGGGGGGGTGGATCCAAATTTCTACCCCTAAACACTTCAACACTCCTTTCAGATCGTGTTTCACAAAATGACCATAAATCGCACCCCTGGCATAAGAATACCGCCGGATAAGGACATAAATCTGCTACCCCCATAGATTTCACTTTCATTAGAATAGAAAGATAGAGCATGAAATTCTGTATCTTTCTGTGCATTTATTTTGTTTTTTCTTGCATGCAAAAAAAGAATTTTTCGAGGACTAAATAGCCTTGGGAGGTCAATCACTTTTCAGTGTTCCAGATAATAACGATGGCACTAATAACTCTTGAATGTGGGCGTGGGTGTGAGTGCGGATTCATGTAAGGCGTGGATTTGGGTATAGGTGTAGGCGTAAAAAGAAAAGAAACACACCCACACCCATACCCACACCACACCCACACCTACATTCAGATCAA